TCTGCTGCACGGCTTTAACAAGCAGACATTTATTCTCACAGTTCAGGAGCTGGAAGTCCAAGTGCAGGGCACAGCTGCAGGGAAGCCTTTCTCCCTGTCACCTCCCAGTTTAGGAGGAAGTTCCTGTCTCCTTTCAACCTCTGTGGGCCGGGTGTCCCTTGGAGATCTCCATGTGCCTTGGCATCAGGCTTCCCCTGGGTCCAGGAAGTTCCCAGTGCAGAGCCCCTGAGTGCAAAGGATGCACTCCACTCTCAGCTGTTCATTGCTGGTGGGTAGGAGGCCCTCTGTCTCTTCTCTCTCCCTTCATCTTGTAAGGCAAAAGGTGATGCAGACCACACCCCAGGGAACTCCCCTTACATTGGATCAGGGCTGTGACCTGAGTAAGGGGGGGTGCATCCTACCCTAATTGCCTTACACTGATCAGCCAATGACATCATGGCAGATGATTTCATCCTTACATGACTGCCACATCATCGAAAAGCACGGTCCAGCCAAGTTGACTCGTATTTTTGAAGGATACAATTCAATCCATGTCAGAGCCTCATGAGGGCTGGCTGGGGAGGCAAGCGACACCCCAGTTCAAGGAGCCCCACAGGAAGGAGCCAGGGGAGCAGAGTGTGCCTCCCCATGGAGCACTGTTACCTGCTCACAGAGCCCCCCTGGAGGGAGGACATGTGTGGCCAAGAGGGAGGAAAGGGAGACTAGTTTTTCACTGTTGAAGGATTTCCTTCGATCATGTGTGTCATCTATTGAATTGTATCCCCCAAAGTACGTGTCAACTTGGCTGGGCCATGATTCTCGGTGGTTTGGCAGTTAGGCAAAGATGTAATCATCCCCGTAACGTCGTCAGCCAATCCACTGTAAGAGGATTAGGGTGAGACGCAAGCCCGATAGGATCCGATGTAAAGGGAGTTTCCCTGGGGTGTGGTCTACATCACCTTCCATCTTACAAGAGATCCAAGGAGAAAGCAGTGAGCAGAGAAAGACGGGCCTCAGTAACACCAAGAAGGAAAAGCTGGCGCAGTGTATCCTCTGGACCTGAGGTCCTGCACTGAGAACCTCCCAAACCCAGGGGCAGATAGATGCCAAGGCACATGGAGGTCTGCAAGGAATGCCAGGCCCACAAATGTTGAAAGGAGACCAGGACCGTCTCCCAGAGCCAGCAGAGAGAGAAAGACTTCCCTAGGGCTTGTGCCCCGCATTCAGACTCCCAGCCTCCTGAGCTGAGAGACTCCGTCTCTGCCGTGAAAGCCTCCCATTTGTGGTGTTTCTTTACAGCAGTACTAGGGGACTAAGACAACGTGCTTTGGCTTCGGAAGTGTTGTTATGTGCCGTCGAGTCAGCCCCGACTCATAGTGACCCCTCCTTGGGTTTCCGAGGCAGTATCACTACGGAAGTAGGATTGCCCAACCTTCCTTCCGAGGAGTGGCTGGTGGGTTTGAACCGCCAGCCGTCTGGTTAGCAGGCAAGTGTCTTAGCCACTATGCTTCGGAAGTAGGTACAGCTATTACTTCTATAGTCAGTACTAAGATTAATTTTTTTTTAAGTGCCCCCTTTTTACATTCTGCAAGAGTCGTAGGCTCCTTACATGGTTCAAGCTGGTAATTGCTTGCTGGGAAATAGGTGGTGAAGTGCACCTCTTTTCCTGTAGGTCTGCCTCCCTTCATCTCCCCTCCTGGAGCAGGTACACACTCATAGGCATACCAAGATATGGTAGACATGGGGCCAGCCTGTGCTCCAAGGGCCCTTACAGACATGCTTCTCTGAGGCCTAAGCAGGCCAGAGAGGAGAGGCAGGCAAGGCGTCGAGGAGAAAGGAGAACGCAGAGGCAGCCCTGCCTGCCTCTCCTTGGAAATCTGGGGCCAGGCAGCAGCCAGAGTGTGTGACCCATGGGGACCCCTGGGACGGGCCTATGTGCAAGAGTCAGGTCAGTGGGTGTCCCTCAAGAAGTGTGCAGGTTGTTGTCAGCTGTCAGCCGTGTCCGGGATTGTGTGGGTGTGTGTCATCACCTGTCACTGTGTGTCTGTCTCAGCACTTGTTGGGCAGTGTCTGTACCGAGACACTCATGTGTCCAGCACTAGGGGAGAATGGGGTTCATCTGTCTGTCAGGATCCGGGTGGCTGGAGGCTGGGGGGGGCTGTCTCTAGATGTCAGGGTGCCTGGGGTGGTTGAGTGAGCATATGTGTGTGTGTGTGTGTGTGTGCATGTGATGTGTATCCAGGCTGGTTTCTGTGTGTGTATTAACACCTGTATCTGGGCACCATGTGTGAGGGACAGGTTGCCCATCTCTGTGTCTATACATTAGGCTGTTGTGGAATTTGTGTCTGTACTGAGAACATGATTCTGTGTGCTTCTGAATGTCCTGGTGTGTCTAGTACTTATGGGGGAGTGGCTCTGTGTGTTCATAGGGGGTTGTTCCATTTCTGTGTGTGTCACTGTCTGATGTGCCTGTGTGTTGGCTGTGCGGTTAGGCCCACTCCCACTGTCGTAGTGTGTCTGTGTTGGTACGCATGTGTCCAGACTGTGCTGTGTGGCCTGTGTCTCTGTGTTATTATTGGTGTCATATCTGGTGCTGTGTGTTAGGGATGTGGTGTGACCTGTGCAGTTCATATGTCAGGGTGCTGCCCTGCGTGGAAGGCTGGAAGATGGCCCCCAAGAGATGTCTGCATCAGAACCCTGTGACCTGCGGACAGGGCCTTCTTTTGAAGGAAGACCTTTGCAACTGAGATTAAACTAAGACTCTTGAGATGAGGAGATTATCTGAACCATTGGGTGGGCCCTGAATCTGGTGGCGAGAGTCCTTACAAGACAGAGGAGGGGGATTTGAGACCGAGGCCACACAGGGAGAAGGGCTGGGTGGCAGGGAGGGGCGGCCGTGTCTCCCAGGACCACCGGAGCCACTGTGAGTGGAAGAGCTCAGGAAGCTTCTCCCAGGATTCTGCTTCCAGAGCTACGAGAGAATAAATGGCTGTTGTTTTGGGTACCCGATGTGGTTATTTACACGGCAGCTCCATGGAGCCCTTGCTCCAGTCTAGGCTGCTTCGTCCTTAGACCCCTAACACAACAGGTCCTAACACATCACCACGGGGGCCTGAGGCAATCCCTCAGCCTCTAGGGACTCAACCCTGCTGACAGACGCAGTACTGCTGCCCCCTAGTGGCTGTGGCTGGAGGTGGTGGGAGGGCCTCCTCCTCCCAGATGCGGCACACATGGCCACTAGAGAACCAGGTTTATTTCGGATCTTTTGCTGGAATATAGAAAAGTGAGTACAGAACAAGGGGGATGAGACAACCATGAGGGGGGTACATGACAGGGGAGGGGGAGGGGATGGAGACAGGAAGCCCTGGGGACAAAGGTGTGTGTGGGGGTGCATGATAGGAGGGAGACAAGAGGAAGACAGGAGGGCCCTGGAGATAAGAGTGGGGGGCATGTGGCAAGGGAAGGAGAAGAGGAGGGAGACACGAAGTCCTCGGGGACAGGAGTGTGTGTGGGTACATGACAGGGAAGGGAGATAGGAGGGCCTTGGGGACAGGTTGAAAGGTACCCCATGGTGGAGACATGGCAGGGTGGGAACACTCGGGGCCTGGATGACCAGCTCATGGGAGGGGGCTGGGGAGCCCAGCCTCATCGTCCCTGAGAGTTTCAGAACCCCCGAGTAGTGTGGGAGAGGGCAGGGGAGCAAGGGGCGGGGCTGCCAAGGCCCCCTGCCCCTTGCTGTACCTCTGCTGGGCAGCACTGGCCCCAAACTGCCAGGGCTAGTCTGGGTGCTGGGACAGTGGATGACTTCTGGGGGAATCCAGGTGTTCCTGGGAAGGGCCAGGGAATGCCCACCCTCTCGGTGCCCAAGGAGCCTCTATAAATGGAAGTAGAGGTGCTCAGAGGCCAGAGCCAGAGGACGTGACCTCAGGTAGCTGGGTGTGGAGTCAGGGCAGCTTAGGGTTCCATTTGCCGCTTTCCAGGAGTCTGGGGCACTACCTGGATGTGGGGCCTTGGTTTCTGCATGTGCCAATGAGGCTGCAGGGGGCTTCCTAGGAGATGCATGAGGGTACCTGACCCCCCAGCTGGGTGCAGATGGGGCTGGCCAGGGCCTGAGCAGGGATTGCACAAAGGGCTAGTGACAGTCTATCCTCAGTGAGGAGCCAGGATGGGGTGGGGGCAGACAGACTTGAGGGTGGGGACACCCCAGGAATGGGCTCAGCAGGCAGGGGGGACCTTCACCACGAAGTGAAGGGACTATAAACAGACAGCTTTCCTAGGGGCCCACTGTGGCTCCCAGTGCTGTCACATGCTGCCAGCAGCACCAGGGTCTGGTCTTTCGACCTAGGTCCCTGTAGGAGGCCCCCACAGTCTCAAGTGCCCAGCCGAAGCTGGTGGGGTGGTGCTCCTGGTCCAGCCTGTCCCCTAGGGCATCCTCAGGGTCCAGAGAGGCCGCGTGGCCGGCTCTGCTTCGTCCCAGTGGGGATCCGATCACAGTGCTGGGGTCTGGGGTCCAGCCCTTGGCAGCTAGGACACATTTCTGAAGGAGGCTGTGGGATGGGCAGGGGTGAGGGAGAAGTGGGGGTTCCAGGGGAGCAGCCCTGGCAGCATCTGCTGTGCCCCTCAGCCCTGGGTCATCCTACCACCTCACACAGCCCCCCACCCGTGTCTCCAGGAGCCCCACTGACCTTGGCTGAGCAGCTGCAGGCTCCGCCCCTCCTCTCGCACCTGCAGGCGCAGCACCTGCTGCAGCACCTCCTGCCTCTGTGCCTCCTGCGAGAGCCCCATCCGCTGCAACTTCTCCGCATTCAGCCGCAGCAGCACCCGGCCTGGGGACGGGAGGGGGCAGGAGCTGAGACAAGCACGGGGCACTGAAAGCCAGGGGTTGGGGAGAACGAGAGACAGGTATGTGTAAAGGTAGAGAGGCAGAGAGAGAAGCAGAAACTCAGAGACAGGTATGTGTAAAGGCAGAGAGGCAGAGAGGCAGAGAGAGAAGCAGAAACTCCGAGACAGGGAAAGAGGGAGGCAGCGGGAACAAGGGTGGAAAGCAAAGGGAAGAGAACAGAGCACGGACAGAGATGGAGACACAGGCTGTGAAAGACCAGGAAGGAGATTCTGCAGAGACCCAAAGCCTCAGAGAAGCTCATCAGGACAGACAAATGACCAAGGCTGAGTGTGGGGCCAAGAGGCTCTCCTGAGGACCTCTGCCAGTCCCTTTGCTGCCCCCCCACCTCCAGCCTCCCCTCCCCCGCTGACCCTTCCCCCCACCAACTCAGGCTGTGGCGGATCCCCCTTCCCGCCAGCTAAGCCCCCTTCCACGATTACCCTGCCCCTACCAGTGATGGCATGCTGGGAGAAGGCCTCCACATAGACGAGGTAGTTGTGAGGGCAGTGCTTCTTAAGCCACTTGCACACGTCCTGCTGACTCCACAGGACCACGGGCCGCGTCAGGCCACCCAGTGAGGGGCTCGTGTGGTACAGGCCATAGTGGTCAGAGTACAGCCGGCCCTGTGGGGGGCAGGTAGTGTTGGAGGGGCAGGCCAGGGAGGCTGGGGCTGAGGGGCAGGTGGGCGTACCTGGGGGGGCTCTGAGCCTGGCTGTTGCAGGAGCTTGACTGGCCTGTTGCTGACCGCCCTCTGGCTGCGAGCGTCATGCCATGTGAGGCTGGTGCCTGGCGTCCGGGGTAGGTGGCAGGGCATGCTCTCGGCAGACACCGTATGCTCCAGGAGGGTCCGGCAGAAGCTGAAGTGGGCAGTGGCTGGGGAGCAAAGGTGCTGTCAGCAGGCAGTCAGAGCCAGCTCTGACCCAGCGCCATCTCCACTCCCTCAGTAGCTGGTTCCCAAGCTCCCCACAGCAGGAGGAAGGCTACCAGAGCCATCCAGGAACCCCAGCAGGCCAAAGACAAGGAGCTGGACCTTCCCACTCCAAGCCCATGGCCCACGCTGGGGAGCAGCAAAGACTAAAGGAGCGTGCTCCCTGGGAGCTTAAGTCCTCCCGCCAGGCTAAGGTCCGTCCTGGGACAGTCTCCCCGAACTCAGGCTGGCACACATGCCACACATCGGCCCCACCAGGCTGTGTGTACCTGCAGGACTGGCCTGTGAGAAGAGGCTGGTCCCAGGTGTCTGGGAGGCTCTCCAGGCACTGGCCTTGCTGTGCTTGGCCAACTGTGACTCCCTGACAAGGAGCCTGAATCTGGATAGAGGCTGCATATCCATTCTGGAACTTTCCTGCCAGACTGCTTTTGCACCAGCTGTTGCCTATCCCCCACGGGCCCCAGGACTGGACAGCTCCTGTTCATGGTCAGTGCCTCAGGCAGATGCCAGCTTAGCACAGGTGTACCAGCTCAGTACACGTGTGTAGTGACATAGCCCCAGCTCTGGGACCACAGTGGCACTCAGCAAGCCCTCTTCCCACACCAACTGCATTACCAAATTTCCACCAAATTTCACCAAATTTTCGCTCTGGATAATTTCTGGGTTAACTGTGGACATGAGCTCAGGGAGGGCAGACACTTGCCTGGGACCCCTCCCACACAGGGAAATCCCTGTTCCCAGCAGGAAGCTTGGTCTACAAGGGGTGACTGAAAAAATTAATGAACCTAGGAGGCTCTGTGTGGAGTCTGGAAGAGGCTGGAGGGCAGGGCGCAGGTTCACCCCTTCCTCACATTCCAGCCCTGACCCAACAGAGAGAGAAGGTGGTAGGGCTGAGCCCCCAGCAGTAGAGTGAGACCCTCCCACGGACACAGCCCCCCACGACACACAAGCAGGCTACCCGCAGCTCCGCGGTCCCCACATCGGGGGCTTCCTGGAAGTTTCCCTGATCAGACGACCCGGATGACCACAGTGGAGGTCTAGGGGCGAACAGAGGGCATGGCGAGTGTAACCACCGCCCTCGGGTGCCTTCCAGTAACGTGGGAAAGGCATGTTCTCTGCCTGGCCCCTTCGGGCGAAGCGCTTGGGTCGGGGTCTGACCGGCCCGGGGACTGCGCGCGCTCCCCTGGAGCCAGTCGGATGCCTCCGGCCCGCCTGCGCGCACCTGCCCCGGCCTGCCGGCCCCGCCTATTTCCTGCTAGCGCTCGGGAAGGGGGCTCCAGTCTGTCAATCAGTCTGCCTGTCGGTGGGTCGGTCTCTCCCAGCCGAACGCCAGAATTCACGCAGGAAATGGGGCGGGGGCCCGAGCCGGGCTGTGGCCTCGGCCCGCTTTCGGCCCCGCTGCCCGCGCTCGGGAGAGTTGTGTGCGTGAAGAAAAAGGTGACCGCAGTGCGATGCCAGCTCCAGGACAGAGCGCCGGCCGCCCCCTGCCAAGCCAGAGGCGCCCTAGCCCCCAAGGCCCGAGGCTAGCCGGTCATTTCTCCGCCTGCGCAGGACAAAGGCTATGCGGACCCCTTTCGGCCGGGTCGCGCCCCCCGTCTGTTTGGTCCCCGCCCGGCCTGCCGAGGCCCTGCTCACCGTCCACATCCCGGCGCTCCCCAAAGCCGGCGCGCACGGCCCCGGCGCGGCCTCGCGGGGGGCTCAGCTTGGACCTTAGCTCCGTGAACATGGATCCCCGCGGCCCCGGACCGCGTGCACACGCCCCTCGCGGAGCGCAGGGCGACCGTGTGGCCGCGGGGAACGTGCGCCGCCGCCCCGCCCCGCGCTGGTGCCCGCTCTCCAGCCGGTCCCCGCCGCTGCGCCGGTCCCCGCGTCCGGCGAGTCTGCGCGGCGAAGCACCTGCCCGCCAAGCCCTCTGCGCCGGGCGCGCTCCGGGAGCTCCGAGTTGGTGGCGCGCGCGCGGATCTGCGTGTGCAGAGGGGGTCCGCCGGGGCCAGAGGCGGCCCAGTGCACCTGGGCACGGCTCCGGGGACGCGTGTTCTATGCACCTGCCAGGGGATCTGCAGGGGCCTCTGGGTGGGGGGGCGTGAGGACACGTCTGTCCCTGTGTGTATGTGTGTGGGGGGGCGTCTCCGCATCGAGCCCTTCCAGCCACGCCCCCTCCTCCTTCACTTGCTTCTCCCAGCGCTCTGGCGCGGTCCCACAGACCTCTCCCAGGGTCCTTCTCCGAGCGGCGCCTGCGGCGCCTCTTCCCCAAAGATGCCAGCTTGAGCTCCGAGGACCCGGCGTCTTTCCCCTTACCCCTGTGGCCTCAGAGTCTGGCTTAAGCCCAGACGTTGTGCAGAGGCTTGGTAACGGAGGGGGAATTCCCCAGTGGGGAGGGATGCCAAGGGGGGGGGGCTGTAGTAGGTGGGAGGGACCCGCAGGGAGAAACGCGGGCAGGCTGGGAGCAGGGAAAGCCTGGTCCAGCAGAAGCCTGGTTACGCCGTCCCTGTAAACACATGTATACACATGAAATTCAGCCTGGATTCAGGCCCCACAGCACGCGAGGAAGTGCACAGAGCTCAGCCACGTGCCTGGGCCAGCACACACGCCGATGTGACCACGCATGTGGACTCAGGCCCCACAGCACGCGAGGAACTACACAAAGCTCAGACACAGGCCTGGGCCGGCTGTGTGCCGATGTGACCATGCATGTCACACAAACCGCATGCATGTGTATGTTTTTGTGAGTTGACTCTATTTCGGGCCTGTTGTACCGAGAGCTGCAGCTTCACACAGCGCCCTCACCAGTCTTAGGGATGTGGGGTGGCAGGCGCGTGCGGACCCCCAGCCCAGGCCACAGTGGGGCCCAGGAATCTGGTGCCAACGTGCAGGGCAGCAGTGTGCACACCGGATGCCTGCATCGCAGCACAGCCCCGCGCAGCTCCGCACGCCCTGCTCAGGTGTGATTGGGGTCAGCTCGGCCAGGGCCCCTCCGAAGGGCGGCTGGGCCGCTCAGTGTGGGGGAACCTGAGGGTCTTGCTCCTTGCGCAGCTCGCTCCCTTCGGGAATTGCGCCGAGAAAATACTCGGGAAGCAGAGACGCTGCAGGCCTTGTTGGAGTTCCACAGGTTTGTTCAGACCAGTGTTGCCTTTTAACACCTTGTGCCGGCGGGGCAACGCCCGCCTCCCCCAGCGGAAGGCACTCCTGCGCATGCGCCTGTCCCTTCCCCGCGCCACTGCAGTGGCCGGAAGCCGTCGAAGCAGCATTTCCAGAACTTCCGGTCGGGGCGACTAATGGGCGGGGCTTCGCCCTGACGGCGCCTTCTGCTTCCGGGGCGCTAGTGACGTGAGGCCGCGCCCGCTTCCTGCGCGGAGTCCGCGGGTATCTCGGCTTCTTCGCTGCGTCCGCGGCTTCGCTCCCTCTCTGGGCGGCCTGTGGGGTCACCGCCACTATGAACAAGAAGAAGAAGCCGTTTCTGGGCATGCCCGCTCCGCTCGGCTACGTGCCAGGGCTGGGCCGAGGGTGAGGCCTGCGACATGGGGCCCGGGTGGCCAGAGGGGCGCGCGCTCTCAGTGAAGGAGTTGCGAGCCGGGTTGGGGGCCACTCGCTGGAGCCCGGCCCCGTCCAGGCACGGCTCTGCTGGTGCGGTGGTCCCTGGAGAGCACCGTCCTCTCTGCCGGCGCTTCGCCCTGGAGGCAGGAGGACCTGGTCGCTGTCGTAAACTAGGGCCTGCGATGCACTGGGTGCTTCGGTCCGAGGAGGTTCAGGAGAGAGACTGGGGGCTCAGGTGTCGGAGCTCGTTGTCGGGTCTCTGAGTGCAGGTAGATGACGCCGGTTGGGAATCGGACGTGCAGCCGGAGGACCGGGGACCGGGCCGAGCAGGCCCACTCTTCCCTCTGGTCTCGCCTGCCCTGGGCGTCACGGCTGGTTGGGCCCCTCGTGTGGCCTCTTGCCCGCTAGTGCCAGTAGTGCTAATTATTGGCAGTGCCAGCCCCACGGGGGCTGAGATGGCGTCGGGGAGCTTGGTGACTGAGTCCTTTAGTCTGGAGGGTAGCTGAGCAGTCCTAGTCCTTGTGTGGTTGGTCGTTTGACTCGGAAGCTACTATCCCATTTCTCCTGTGCCTAGCAAGTTAGAATCTGTGGGGTGCACACAAGACTCCGATGGTGACACCCCCAGAGGACCTGCTGTTTACCGAGTGGGGTGAGGCATTTGTGTAAATAACCACATAAAGGGGAACCGATTGAGAACTTACGGATTCCCAAGATCAGGGAATGTTCAATGGAGTGGCAGCGTTTGATTCAGGTTTAGGAGGATGGTTGGGTTGAGAGACTCAGAATCGTGGTAGAGGTGCAGAGAGACTGACGTTCTGTGTGTGGATGGTGAGAAACAGAAGCTTGGAGCGAAACAGCACAGAGTCCCATGTGAGCGGAACGGGTGCAGTGAATGAAAGGAAGCTGAGGGGTTCCTTGGGGCCTTGCATGTCACACTAGAGCTGGTGGAGGCATTGGAGAGACAGTGATGGGTCAGCGTGCCAATTCTGGCTTACAACAGGGGTGAAATAGGAGGGCTAGAGGCAGGAGTGGCTAACTTGGTGCTGAGCTATGACCATACGGGGGCCGTATGGTCTGGGGAAGAGAGATTTTAGATGTAGAATCAAAGGAACTTGGAGCAGATTGAATGGAGCTAGGGAAGGAATGAGGGTGGCAGAGTTCGTGATAGGTGTTGCCATCAGCTGAAGCGGTGTCTGGGGCAGGAGAGGAGCGAACTCCTGGCAGGTTAAGTTTGAGGGACTTAGTGGGGTGGAGGTGGAGGTGATTGGCAGGTTGATAGAAATGTGAGGCTGAAATTTAGGAAGTGGGAAGCCATGATGCCCTATGCAGAGAAGCCTTGGGTGAGAAGACGTCTCCTTGTAGCACCCAGAGTGGGTTGGAGGGGCAAGCACACCAGTGTGTTCCCAAGTGGCCAAGCTCAGCTCCCCACCTTGGGACCTTTTGGAGGTTTTTTAGGTGTTAAAGGTCTCATCAAGCGGTGGTCAAGGGTGGAAGGGAGAACACAGGAACAGGGTACCCAGATGTGATGGTGGGCAGCATCCACATTCGCATCCTGGGGTCTCCTGCAGTGCCACTGGCTTCACAACCCGGTCAGACATTGGGCCTGCCCGGGACGCAAATGATCCTGTGGATGACCGCCATGCCCCGCCAGGCAAGAGGACCGTTGGGGACCAGATGAAGAAAAACCAGGCTGCAGATGATGATGATGAGGACCTGAATGATACCAACTATGATGAGGTGACACGTGTTTCTGTGGCTCCCTGGCCAGTCCGAAGGCTGGCCCCTTCTTGATCATGTGCTGTGGGGCTTAAGCAGCTCGTACGTTAATGTGTCAGTTCCTCACAGGCACTGTCAGCAGCGTGTGAGGGACAGCAGAGCTGTGCCTCAGCAAGCACTCTCGTCTCTCGGGAAGAGGCACCTCTGCAGCTAGTGGCAGGGGTCTTGGCTGTGAGTTAGTGATTGGGATTCGCAGGGGTGGGGGTGGGGTGACACCTCTCAGCTGATCGCATACCAGCCTTTGAGGTTTTCTTTAGGGGTGTTCTAACAGGTGGCATCTTTCTTTGGTGAGAAGAAAGTGGGTTTTTTTTAAACTTTGAAATAATTTTAGACTTGCCAGAAACTTTGCAAAAGAAAAATGGTACAGAGAATTCCTGTATACCCTTCTCTGTTTTCCCTGATGTTAACATCTCAAGTCACTTCCGCAAAGTTATCGATTAGCATCAATATCGTACACCCACTCCTCACTTATCAGCATGGTTAAGTTCCAATGACCAGGTTGTTATGCAGAAATTGGCATTATGGGAAAATGGAGGATGAGCACATCATTACCTGACTGCTGAACCACTGAGAACCATGGCTCAGCCAAGCTGACACAGAACCTTAACCGTCACGGCCAGTGTGACTCTCACCTCATACCTTGGTGCTCGTTACTGTCAGGTGTATGTAGTTAATGCGCAGAATAGTTGATTAGTGGGTTATTCCACTACGGTCACATGTGTGAGATGTCAGACGCTGATGTAGTTGATGTAGTAGGTGTGCTGTTAACCCAGCTGTACCAGTCTTACTTGAATGTTACAGTTTCCAAGAATGTCCCTTTTTCTGGCCTAGGACCTGCCTCGATCCTATGCTACTGTTAGGCCTTATGTCACCTTAATCCGCAATGAGGTTCGGGCTTCAGTCTTGTGATCATGACTCTTTTGTCAAGTGCTGATGGGGTGTTTTGTGATGATGACTCTTTTGTCAAGTGCTGATGGGGTGTTTTGTGATGATGACTCTTTTGTCAAGTGCTGATGGGGTGTTTTGGAGACTGTTCCTCAGTTGCAGTTGATCTGATGAAAGAGTATTTAGCACCTTCTCATAGCTACGGTCACTCTCTCTGCTGCTGGGCTGTATTGGAGGAGAAGCTGACCTGTGAATGCTTTGTTTGCTTCTCAGTTTAATGGTTATGCTGGGAGCCTCTTTTCAAGCGGGCCCTATGAGAAGGATGACGAGGAAGCAGATGCCATTTATGCGGCTCTGGACAAGAGGATGGATGAGAGAAGAAAAGAAAGGAGGTAAACAGATGGCTGCCCTTCACATTTGTGTCCATTCACCTTTGTCACAAGCATGTCACTTGGACTTAATTTCAGACTCAGAAAAGTTGCAGGAACAGCATGCGTGTGCACTCAGCTGTGGGCTCCTGGGTTCTTAGTC